TTGTTTTGCACAATTGTTTTCCTATCTCTTTCCACTATTTTTGGACTGTTTTTGGCCTATCTTTGAACTGTAAAAAAATTTGCTTTTATGACCTAAAAATGGTGGTTTGAGGCCACTTTCAGTTAAGGAGTGGTTCACATTTCTTGCTTCTTTACTTGTAAAGTTTTAATGCCTTTGTTTATCACTTTCAAATCAACTTTTTTGAGCCTTTCAACCACTGAATTTTAGAGGTTTTTCAGTGGCAAAAAACTCATTTTGAAGTCCAAATTTGGAGGGGTTAGCCTCCCTTCTTTGTGTCCTGTTTACATGTCTAATTAGGTTCATATGTTAGCATATTTTTCTAGTTTAATTTAACTCAAGTCCAGCATATTTTTGCCTCTGAAATAGAATGCTTTAGCTCTGTTTTGGCTGGTTCCTATCCCCCTTGAGTTTGCGGGGGTTCATAAAATCCACCTACTCTCCACCTACTTCACCCACTTAAACCTACTCCACTAAACCTAACCCACTACACCACTACCAGCTCACCTACTCCATTAAACCTAACCCACTACACCACTACCACCTCCACTTCACCTACTCCTTACCTACTACACACTCACCCTCTTCTATATATAGGAATCATGAATCATTGTAATAGAGATCAACAAATCAATCAATAATATACATCAATATATTTTACACTAAGCCATAAACACCTAGCCACCGAGCAATGCAAAAAGAGATGATCCAAAGATTCTCCACTTCTACAACATATGATGCACCATTGAGGATTAAGATACAGCAAAGGTCTCCTCTTTTGCAATGAATCATTGGTCAGAGTGCCCCCATGAACCAAAATCCACATGAACACTTTCACCTTGAGAGGAGCACACGCCTTCCAAATCTTGTTATGAAATGGAAATTGAGGGACATGAGAATTATCAATGGTTTTATCAAGAAAGGACTTACAAGTAAAAGACTCCGACGAATTGATATTCCATACTAACCTATCCTTCAACATTGGAGACAGAGAAACATTTTCAAGCCTTGACAAAAGAGAAATCAATTCCGGAACTTCCCTGCCATGAAGATTCTGACGGAAATTAAAATCCCAAGATAAAGGAACCACCAAAGAACCCGCCATAGATGCAGCAGAACAATTATGAGATTGAGAAACACCGTATAGAAGTGGATATGACTCAGCCAAGGACATCGAACCCACCCAAACATCCTCCCAAAATTTGACCATTTTCCCATTACCCACCCTCATAGAAATGAATCGGGACCAAACTGGGTAAATTTGAAAAATGGACTTCCAAGGAGCACGACCGCTACCCCTCGAGACCACTTGAGAGTCCCTACCATTAACCTGAATCCCATATTTATTTTTAATAACCGCATGCCTTAATGAACCACACTCATTGGGAAATTGCCATAACCTAACCACTTGCCCAGCAGAGCTATGTTTCTAACCAATATTACCAATGGCCAAACCCCCTTTCTCCTTTGATAAGGACATCGTTTCCCAATTCACCAAATGATCCTTCCTACCCTCATCTTTCCCTTCCCATAGAAAATCCCTAATTGGGACTTTGGTTATGGGCTGTTCTTTTCTATTTGATGCATATGTGTTTTTTTCCCATTCCTTACCTATTTCTCTTTATTTTAGGTGCAGTTGAGTACAAGTTGTTTGTCGGCGCATTGAACAAACAAGCTACAGAAAAGGAAGTTGAGGAAGTATGTTTCACTTGTATTCACATGTTTGCGTTAGTTATGCCTATCTTTTTGTAACATTAGCATAATAGTATTCATCTTGCCATTCTTCTCCCTTTAAATTCCCTACCCTCCTTGGTGTCCTAAAAATTAAGAAACTTCAGCTTATTCTTCATATACTTTTTGTCACTCATACTGTGCGCCTGCATGTGTATATAAATGTGTTACAGTTATTATAATCTACTTTGCTCAAACTAATTAAAGTTTATTGCTGACAACTGATTCTTCCTTTGTCAGATTTTTTCACCTTATGGTCGAGTTGAAGAGGTCTATCTTATGCGTGATGAAATGAAGCAGAGCCGTGGTTTGTCTTGTTGCTCTTTTAGTTACACCATGTAGTCCTCTTCAGTCTTGTAACTAAGCTATTATTTGAATCTAGGTAGCACAAACACTTCTAGGGAAGAGCACTGTTTTTGTCCAACACGTGGCGGACATCGATACTTCTTAGACACTCCTCGAAATGTGCCTGACACTTCTTCAACATATCCTGATTAAAAAATAAAATAACAATTTCGGACAATTTGACAACACTATGCAAACACCTGTGTGGTGAATATCTGTAGTAACAATTCAAACACGTGGTGCACCCACAATATGTCTTGAAATATTTTTAATTTGATTTCATAATCTGCATGACCAACATAGACTATACAATGGACAACTTCTAACATATGAAATGATATGGCAATAAAGATTAAAATGTAGTAAGACACCAAGTAACTGGAGAATGCATTATATACATGATGTTTGCGGATCTCTATTTTTTCCAATTTCTAATTTTAACTAGAAAAATATTAATAATAAATTAGGTTTCATATATAACATAAAGATATACATATATATAGTAATGTGTTGCCATGCCTGTCATGTAATGTCACGTCTTACTTTTTCAAAATTTGTTGTGTCAGTATGTTTGAATCATACCATGTCCATATCTCATATCTGTGTTTATGTGACATTGTTTTGAATCATGTACGTGGAAGAAAATGCGCATCTTGTCCCCACTCTTTCATGAGAAAATGAACACAACCACAATCACATAGGCACATTCTATGTCATCATGTGGCACATACTGATTTCAAATTCAGATTCACTTGAAAGAGAGAAGAAAAAAAAAAAAAATATTTAGTTAAGTCTCTCCCATTCCACTTACTTTAGTTTAGATATTGGGTCATTTATGTATAAAGCTTCTCAGGATTTATAATTTTTGTGTGTGCTGATCCAAGTGTTTCTTTCTAATCCTTATTGAGATGTATGCTACAGTTATTGTTATCATGTTCCACTGCTTCTCAGTTATATGTCCAACTGTTTTGAAGGGTGTGGATTTGTTAAATATTTTCATAGAGAAATGGCGATGGCAGCTATTAATGCGCTTAATGGAATATATACAATGAAAGTAAGCTTATTTTGCTATTTCAACAGTGATATGTTCTCTATTTAATGTTACCAAACACTAATCATTTATCTTCTCCTTTTGCATCTTAGGGGTGTGATCAACCATTAATTGTTCGGTTTGCTGATCCTAAGAGGCCTAGAGCTGGAGACCCAAGGTTTTGCTCGTCCTTCGTCATTATTGCTCTTTATTAGTTTAGCGTACTCTTCATCTATGAAACACGGATATTGGGTCCTGTGTTTTAAGTAGAACATTACTAAGATATACTGTTGTTTGTGAGAAGCAGGTATCAGAGTACTTGCATTGCAACTTGATTTTAAAATCAAAACAAATATGAACTTCAATCCATTAATCCCTTCTTTGGGATTTTTATCTTTGGAACCCTAAATCCTAACAACTTCCAATTTATTTATGAATACTAGGAACTTAAAGTAAGAGATTTAGGACCAGTGGCTTTTTGTTCAAATTTCTTGTCCAACATATAAATATAGTAATTAATGTTTTTCTATTATCTTCCTATGATATGTATATATCTGTTTGTACATAAAAGTGAATATATGTGAAAGGATGTTTACTTGCTGCCTTGTTCCACTTTGTTCTTGTCTAGATCTTTTGAAATTGGCATGACAGTTTGGTTTTATCATGTGGTATTTGTATCCCTTCTTTGTATTCTTACTTCTTAGTATACTGTGTCAACTTAATTTGTTTTATTTCGCAGGGCTAGTCCTGCATTTGGGGGTCCAGGTTTTGGTCCACGGTTCCCACCACCAGAAGATCGGTAATTTATTTGATAACTAAAGGATGAAGCTCGTTGCCATATTATCGTTTTATTTCTCTTGTTCCCATCTTATTCACTTTTGATTTTTTTCTTTTAATTTTTCTCATGAACTTATTTTATTGTATTGTTACTCTTGCAGACCAACACCAAATCTTGGTGAGCCTATGCATGGTCACAAACCATCCGATTCTTGGCATTTCATGAGTCCTCTAAATATGGGGCCATTTTCAAACCCTGGTGTACAAGGTTTTGGGAGCCAGTTTCTTCCTCGGTCTGGGGATATGGCAATGCCTTCTACTCTGGTATGGAAAAGTTGTGGTTACTTTAATTTAATTTGTGTCCTTTTATTTCAAGGAATAATATTTGTAATGCTAGCATATTACCATGAACTATATATTTATCCAAAAAAAAGTAAAAATAAAATTACCACGAACTATATAATTAGGTTTCTGTAGGTAAATAAATGATATATTTCTGCTATAAATAACCTCCGTATGTAAGTAGACCATGTTTGCTTCGCTGTTCAAATTATGATACTACATAATCCTGCAGTAAGCATAAGCTCCTTCCCTGTGTAACTAGACCATGTTTGTTTTTCTATTCAAATTATGAATATTACATTAGCCTGCAGTAAGCATGAGCTCTGCTGAAGGGTTATAGATTTTTGATTTTGTAGCTCTGTAAATGTGTTTTCCTGTGTTCAGTCAGCTAATATAAAAGCTGCATGTGTGCTTCTTCTTATTTTTTTATTGTTTTATTTTTTATAAAATTTACTCTGTATGTCCTTTTTTTTTTAATTTTAATTTTTTTTAATGGAAATTCCAAATTCGTTTTAAATGTGTTCACACTTAACTAATATAGTCTGAATGAAGTTTCCAATTATACCTCTGGTGATCAAAAAAAGAAAAGGATCAAAATTATCCCTCTGCTTTACTCTATTAAATGGCAAAAAAGGATTTATGTAGCTAGCTCCACTTGATTGGGACACAAGTCTTAGTCTGGTTTGGTTTCGTTTGTTTTACCATATTAAATGCATTCACTCATTTAAAACAGGATGATATTGTAAAATCATAGCAATACATATCCAGGCTTTTCAAATTACCATTTTAGGACATCCCAAAATGGAGAAGTGGACAAAATGAATGGGATGGAGTACTTATTTTTACATGGTCTTTTCATTATTCTTTTCATCTGAGATTAAGGATTTTCAACTTCTTATGCTTGGAAATATTCTAGGGTGGTCCTCTTGGCGTACATGATGGCTCTGCAGATGTTGTGCTTTCTGGACGTGCAGTTTCATCTTCTACATCACAGCAGGTATATGCCCATTGATTGTTGATACCTTCATGTGGTTCGCTAGTCCTTTTGTGACAACTTTAAATCCATTTTTCTCTCTGAATTGTTTTCCAGAGCTTTGACCAGTCTTTGCCACAAGTTCCCTCAATTGGGCAGCAGCAAATATCACAATTGCAAAGGCCACTTCAATCACCACAAGAGTTACAATCTTACATGCAAACACAGATGCCACTCCAGCAACATGGTCAACTACAAATTCCTCAGTCTGCGGGTCAAACCCCCTTCAGTCATGCATTGCTTGGTTTGGGTGGACAGTTATTTGTTTCTCAGCCTCAGGTCCAGCAGAATGCCTCATCTGCACAACAAACCCCAATGAATACTAACTTACATCCACATCATCCATCTGCCGCAGCAAATGAACAGCAGCTTCCACTCCAACAATCAGCTTCTCAGTTTGCTCAGATGCTGTCACAACAGAAGCAAACACTACAGGCAAGCTTTCATTCATCTCAGCAGGCTTTCTCTGAGCTTCAACAACAATTTCAGTTGATTCAACCTTCAAATCAAAATCTGATGTCACATCAGTTTTCTCAGGCTACCAAACAGCAGGTATTTACATATTTAGTGGGTCTGCTTTATCTAGTTATTTACACTGAAAAATTTCAAGTGATTTGTTGCACTTATATGGTCATATTTAAATATTCATTAAATAAAGAATTAAGCTGATATTTGGATTTGGCAACCATGAGATTAACTCATATCATATTCAAGGTAGGTAGGTGCGGTTCTGGTTTTATACTTCCTCAGTGCGGAGGCAACATTACTCCATAATGGATTTTTCTAAGGATATTTTGAGATTCAAGGCTTAATGTTACTTCTATGCCATTTAAGTTTTATCCTGGGAGAAATTGATATACGTCAATCCTCGTGGATCAAATTTTTTTCCTACATGTGCGACACATGTAACTGGTGTTGAATATTTTTTTGATTGGCAACTAGTGTTGAATTATGTTGTACACACCTAATAGTTTGCACTTTAGAGTTGTCAGTTGTCTGCAGTTATTCCTGAATTTGTCAATTTTTGTTAACAGTTAGTACACCACCTTGAAAAATGTTCTGACAGGCTGTCTATGACATTTGTTTGCTTCTACACGTGTGGTGTTCAAATTTTTGTATGAACATTTTACTGTTGTTCTACTTACATAGGGATTTATTTATTTATTCTTGACAATGTTTAGAAACTTTTAGGCCACATGCTAAATAGAATATTGCTTTTTAATTCAGTATCCGTGGGCTGGGATAGTACCACAGACAGTTGCCAGCATGCCTGCTATCACTTCCGTGGCAGATGTGCCTCCTGCCACATCGTCTGCTCCGGTTCTTCCTGTAATACCACAGGCTGTTGCTCCTGTAAAATGTAATTGGACAGAACACACTTCTCCTGATGGATTCAAGTACTATTATAATAGCTCAACTGGTCAAAGCACAGTAAGAAATTTATTATCTTCATATTTTTGGGGTGAGTACCGTTTCCACTTAAATATATACCAATGCTTACTGCCATGGACATGTAGTGGGAGAAACCAGAGGAATTGGCATTATTTGAACAACAGCAAAAACAATCTGTTCAACAGCCTCAAACCCAGTCTCACCCTCAGAGGATCTCTACACAGCAAGTTCCTCAGACACAGCAATTTCAACTCCAAACACAAGTTCAAACACAGGCCCACCATCCGCAGCAGTTGCAACAAAGTTCTTTACCATCATCAGTGAGTGTTTGTCATGTATTCACTTTCAAGATTTTAACTTGTTCGTATCTTATTTGATTTTATTATTTTGCAGTATCAGGCTTCAGGAGTCACAGGTCACCAAAATATTCAGGTAAATGTTAACTTGATTACAAAATGATTGATTGCTTTTGAATTTTAATTTATGTTTGACATTGATGCTATTATGTTGTAACTGGAACTCTCTGTAACGTCTCTAGTTGTAATTTTTCTGTTTTATAATTTCAATGATATATTTTATCCACGTCCTATCTCCATATCCGTGCTTCCTCGTTTCTTACTATTGCAGTTGAATTGTCTGATATTGCTAATGAACTGTATGTAATATGAATCTATGAGATTTTAATTGCCATTATAACTACCCAAAATGGCTAATGCACTTCCATGGTGTCCCTGTGGACTTTTTCCCCTCCCCTCACTAGTTCCAAGTTCTTATAATTTCTTTGGTATTTCAGGAACAACTTGGTTATACACAGTTGCAGATGGCAGCTGGTTCTGTCAATGATCCCGCACGCTTCCAACAAGTAAGATATTAACTTGTTGACTTGGTTAGGTTCTTCGTTTGATCACTGTTTCATTTGCATTGTCTACCTTTGCCGCAGGGGCTTCAGGCTGCTCAGGATTGGATGTGGAAGAATACGTCTTCAGGTTCTGATCAGTTTGTTTTGCTTTATAATCATCACATACTTGTTTAGGAACTAGTGAACATCTTGCAATTTAGGGTTTGGAGGGGTAAAAACCTTGAGGCTAAAAAGCCACATGGGCTAGTTGACTTGGCCTAATTGATGGCTCAGAAGCCAAACCTTTCTCGTTAAAGTTTTCCTAGACCCAATGCACGTAGTTTTGTGGATAATTTTGGGTCTCAGAAGGGTGAAAAACTTGAGGCTAAAGTCACATGGCAAGTTGACATTTACCTAAATGATGGCGCAGGAGCCAAACTTTTCAGGTTTTGATTCTTTCTGGATTGCCCAATGCATTTAGTTTTGTGGTTAGTTCCTCTTTAAATAATCTAAGGCTGTGAAAGATGTGATAAATTGATTGAATTACCCGGTCAATGTGCTTCAGTTGTGTTGTTTATTAGACAATGCATCTCATGGTTTTGAGCTAAAAGTGGATGCTGGCGAGCACCATGCCCTTCTATTCTGACTGTCCTTCGAGCATTTTGTTAATAATGGAGCTGTGGAGGGCAGTTCTAACCTCATTGATTTTGCTCAACATGTACAAACTGAAAAGTTTGATGTTCTTGCATTGATACACAATTGAATTTTTTGCTCATCGTGTCAATCAATTTTTCAGGAACTTGACGCGGGTTGATTAGAAGTTTTAAGGTGAATTGCCAAAAAGTCCGGTTGGATGATGCTCTGCCCATAATTAGAACTGGAAGCCGACTCTTGTAGCTCCAAGGCCGATGGTATGCTTGCATCACTGAATATTGTGTAATAGAAATTAATTTTTCCCCTCACGTTTCTCTACGTAACTGGGTTTTACTGTGTCACAGTTATCGGCTCAACTAATAAAATTTTGGGAGCCATTACTGCAATATGTCTTAGCATGCCATTAGTAAGTAATGCCATCGTCAGATATTAAATCTACGTGCAGATGTAAATTTATCGTGAAACCGTGTTCTCATGCATCGTTTGGTGTGGAAGTGATTCAGATTATTTGAGGGTATTTTTGTGCTCGTAACTTGGTTGAAGTGTAATAATCTTATGTATGTAGTGCATGCGACCCTGTCTCTCTAGATAACATTATATTAGATAGCTCACAGAAGTTATGTTGACATTACTAGTGTAGTTTGGTTACATGACCAGGTACTACAGAAATTAAGCTTCCAGATGTCTTCAAAGAGCTAAAACTGATTGATAATCCTACAGTTTTTGCGGATTTGACCGTTCTCTCCAGTCAGCGGTCCCAAACTTCCCATTTTCAGCATAGACTTTGTAAACTCCTCAAAGAAAGTTGTTGGATCATCTGCGTAAGATTGGACGATTCCTCGTGTTTGGTCATCTCCAGTGACAAGGGCCTGGTCAGAAACGAGTAATCCCTCCCCAGAAATTAGGTTAACATAGTACTGGTTATCGAACGTGGATGGGGTCACAAGATCAAGATGTGCTAGTGTTGTGTTGCTGTTTGGTTCTGCACATAGCTGCTGGAGTGACTGCAGGAAGTCCACATTGATGTCTGGGCTGTTTGAGTTGCTGTTACCATTCAGCCTAGAGCTGAAAGTGGAGCATCGAGCTTTTCCCATCGTGTGCGCCCCTGCAGAGAGAAAGTAAGAGAGTATTTTCTCAACAACCAAACATCTGCGGACAGTGAAAATGATGGGTACCTGAGAGGGTGACCATGTCACTAAGTGTAAGGCCAACATTTTGGAACTTGGCCACTAGTGTGGCTACGTCGGAATTAGGCCCTGGAATGTTGTTGTTTGCTGCTGCTTTGCTAGCAGTCAAGCTGTCTCTCCTCCCCATCTGGACTTCCCAAACTGGCCCTCCTGACTGCAAATTTTGAGCTCCATTAATCCAATGATCAAGTTGTAGAGTTAGTACTAATGGCTAAGACTGCACATACCAGAACAACCGAGTCTCTGGCTACAATAGCGAGTATATCAGCACAAGAGACAGTCTCAGGACAAACAGATTCAAGATCAGATTTAATTGCATCGATCATTTCGAACCCTCTCAGTGAATTCAGGTTTGGTGCTGCAGTTTTTTCGCCTACAAAATTTGGTGTGTCATCCAACAACACTGATGCATCACATCCCTGAAAAACGTGTCAGCCCATCGTTGTTCATCAGTATTAAAATGCTCTACCAAGGAAATGAGTAATTCTATATATGGAGAATTTTTTACTATACAGTGTCCAGAATGCAGCGTTACGTTAGGCTATTTAGGCATTCGACAAGGCCTCCAATTTTCCCAAGGTCCATTGTTTTTTAAAAATATTTGTCGAAAGTCTCACAAAAATTATAAAAAAAAAAATCCTCCTTATCTTTGGTTTTTGGTAAAAGCTGAGCAAAGAAAAAAAAATGTCAATATATAAAAGCTCCACTAAAAGCAAAATAAAAAAATCTTCATCTAAAAGTTTATAAAAAATAAATCCTGTAAGTCTCCAATAATGGAGGCTGAATAAAACATTCTTTGTCTAAAGACTATACCAGAAAAACCAACCCTGATCTAAAGGCCCAACCCAAAAAAAAAAAGGAAAAATTACACCACAGTGGTGTCGAAAAAATTAACTATAAATAAATGATAAACATTATAAATATTAATAATTAAAATTATAAATTTTATCATGAATTTGTAATAATTTTTGCTGACACCACTAAACAGTAATTTCTCCAAAAAAATTCTTCTATTTACCAAACGCAGTAAAGGTGGCAAAAAAAAATATTATTTACAAGAATATATGTATAATGAATAAATTTTAACTTAAAGAAGTTTTTAGATTGAAATTTAATAATCATATTAAAATACAAACCTAAGGCCTCTAAAAGTTGCATTCATTATGGTAAGAACGCGAGTCAAATGAGTGCAATGCCAACACTTTTTTGATTTTTTGGTAATGTTTCAGTATGTACAACATAATAAATATAAAGAGAATGACTTGCATTGACAAAGCAATCATGGAAATGGAGACGAAGCAGTGAAGCAGGCATTCTAGGGTCCTCAGTGACAGCCCTTTCCACCCATGAGAAGATAATGGTTTCTGCCTCCGGGCAGCTGTCTCTGTATGCCCCGATCCTCAGAAGGAAGCTCCCACCATCGATGCATGCTTTGTTCAATGTGTTTGTCACTTCTGCCTCTGCTGACCAACTAACTGAAATCTTTAGCATCAGTAAATAGAAAGTTAGGAAGAACAATGCCATTTTGTGGCCTATAATAAACTTTCTGCTAAGTTAATTTTACTTATATAAGTTGCCCACATATATATATATATATATATATAGTAGTTGCTTGGAGAGAAAGAGAGAGAGAGGTCGTAGTAGTTGTTGTTGTACTAAAAGGGTTAGTGAAAGTAGTAGAAGACACAGTCAAGCCCAAGAAGAGGTCTCTTGTGGATGACATGCAGGTTCTACCCTGTTCACCTAATGCCATGAGCTTCTTCATATATATATTTTTATTTTATTTTAATTTTAATTGCATAATCATGATCAAATTTGATTGTCATTGATTTAGAGGATTAGAAATCATGGAATTGTAATTGAGATTAATGAATATAAGTAAGACTGTAGTTATAGAATTAATTGTATTATATATATGTTTGATTAGTGTAAAATAATGAGCTTGCAATTTAAAAAATAACGCCACGTCATGTTATTATGTTTGTAATTTGTGTATTAAAATTTTATTTATATACCAATTAGACTTCTAATATTATTATGTGATGGCACAAATTTGGAAATAAGGCTTAGACTACCAACTTTTAGTTGAAATCCCAGCCACAATTCATGTGTATATATAGTAACTCCTACAACTTAACCTTCACAAATGTTTTTTGGCCATTTTTGCTACACTCATGCAATCTTGAGTCTAGTTTCTTTGTCATGATTTATTTATTTATATTTATTTTTGTATTTTTTAGTTCGACATGTCAGTAAAATATATAATTTAATAATTTTAGTTAGAATTGAAATAAACTGCCATTAAAACCAAACACTCCAAGATAACATTGTTTTACCTCAATTTTAAACACAAATGATTAAATTATAAGACCATTATAAAAACATTTAATCACTAATAACTGACGAGTTTGAGACTGAACCCATGTAAAACCATTACAAGAAAAATCCAATCACTGATAGTTGATGAGTTTGGGAATGGACCCATGTCCAACCCTCAAGAGTCAATCATTTTCCAAAAAATAATCATATTCCATGCGACCCCAACGGGTAGAAATTAATTAAGGTAGCAGGTCTGAGGAAGTTTGGGATGAGGAAATTCTCTGGTTGAGTCACGTCTTGTACCATGCCATTAAATTTCTTTCAAGACTTGTACATAGCATGCATTAAATGGTGACCCCATAAAGGATGAATTTATAAATAGCCATGACTAGCCTATGCTTCACGAATTGAATCTGTTCTTATAGTTTCAGAAAAATTATAGTAATGGTAATTGAGTGTATATAGTTGGATTAGAATTGAATCGCAAAATTAATTTGTTCAGTTTAGTTTTACAATTTTATTAATATTATGTAATAGAGATATGCTATCCGTATATGATTATATTAAAAAAAATCAATAACAATTAACATAGTTGATTGAAACTTGTCAATTCCATAGTGAACAAGATTGAATCATAATTTATTGATTTCACGGATTTTCTTTTTGAACATTCCTACATACATCATCCAAAACTCATGGTATAACTAACACGTTAAATCATCAACTACATATTTTTAGTACAATTAACTACATTTGAAACCTTTGTTTATGACCCAATTCCACAATGTGGATTCGATATTATCAATCTGATCTCGTGGGTTTATCACTAGTTTCACTCTGATGACATATTTTTAATACAATTAATAACTACATTTGAAACCTTCATTTATGACCTAATTCCACTATGTGTATTGGATATTATCATTCTGACCTCGTGCGTTTATCACTAGTTTCACTCTAATGATGTGTCTTGTTTGTTTTGTAAATTCATGCGTAGATTATTTTGTAAATTCATGTGTAGTTTATTCACAAAAAAAAAAAAAATTAATCGGTTGATCGTGACGGCATGATTCTATTTTGTGTTAAAAAAATAAGTACTTTATTTTCAAAATTACACTTACTATCTTTTTTTTTTTGAAAACAAATATAATGAAATTGTGTGTTTACGATTATCAGATTATTTTTTTTTTCCTTGAATAATCTATACAATTCATTCCTAATTTTGAAGTATATTTTGGCTTATAAGTGGAATTACTGTTAGAAGAAAAGTTAGCTTGAGATTATAGACTTCTAAGATAAGATTTTTTTTTTTAATTTTTTAATTTTAATTTTTATGATTTTCTGTAGGTCACAATAGGAGTATCCACTTTTGACTAAAATGGATCTAAAAGGTATTGCCACCATAATAAAAAAAGCTTTTAAAAATAAAAAATAAAAAATTCTCAAGGATTCTTATCCTTCACCCCAACAAAAAGGCATAAAATAAAATTAAAAAATGCATTTAATTGAAAGTTTTCAGCTACAATAATAAGTATTGTAATTAAGTTTATGTATATAGAGAATATTTGAATACATACGTATCAAGATTGATATCCCTTTACAGCTAGCTACGATGATAAGACAATACACAAAGAAAATGTATTTCGATTCTTTTTGCATATATATAGTTGTTTTTCTATACTTTTTCACTTCTCCTTCTAATTATTACACCTTTAGAAACATGTATTATTATTCCCATTCAAACTATGGAAAGAGAGTATGATCTTCAAAGAAACATCTTAGAAATATAGGAAAATTAACACTCTAGATGAAATTGAGTACTTTATGGAATCCAATTAATATACAATTTTCACTGTTGAAGCCAAGGCCTAAACCAATAGTAAGATTTATGTGGTTCAACAATATGCCTACAGTCATGGGAAAAGATTGACAAATGAGTTTCACTATAAATATAAAATTACATTGAATCAGCTCTCTCTCCTTCTCAAATCCTAAGGCACAAAATCATCATCAAACCTAGAATCCTGAAATAACGCAAAAAATACAAGGACATGAAAGTACCAAGTAGGGTTAAAATAGACCCATAAACAAATATGAGTCGGACCTATTAATCGGGAACTAGTAATAAGCATCATCCAAGTCGAGTTAGAGTCACACCCACAACAATATCAAATTGAGTGCTACGCAGTGACCAGAAGATCATGGTGTGATTAAATGGATACCACATCCAGTTGAGCTACAGGGAATACAAACTTTAGGTTCTTAAAGGCTGGAAAGCGTAAGATGCAAGAATAATTCTCTGAGAAATAAGAACAAACATAAGGGATTTTTTTTCCCGATCTTTGTTCTCAGTAATGCTTAAAGGGTTGGCCACAGTTCATCTAGTTCATAAAAAGAATATTCACCTCTTGCTTGGAAGAAACATAAGTGGTATTTATATGTTTCATGTTCACACATCATACTAGCAAAGTAGAATAAACAAAAGTTAATTTGTGTTCATACTAAATAATGTAGGAAGTTACTATTTCTCAAAATTCCCAAAATTTTCTTCTTGATTAACTTCAAGATTACGTGTCAAGAAAGGTTAGATGTATACAAGTAGAGAGCAAACTTATGGTTGTGCTAAGGCTCGGAATGCAAGTTCTAAATTTGTATCTTTCATAATCTACATCAATTGAATCAATCCTAAAGCATGAGGCAGAACCCAACACTTTATTAGTAGGCCAAGCTTGAAGTTCCCAACCTCCAGCCACTGACGTACCACAAAAAAAAAGAAGCTAGAACTTCTGTTTTTGTAAACACTACGGGAGGAAGCACAAGATTTAATCTCCTTTTCCCAGCAGTGAAAACTATTCTCATCTCTCTCTCTCTCTCTCTCTCTCTCTCTCTCTCTTTGAGATCTTGGATTCAAGTCTTGCCATCTCATTATCTCTGTCATTGTGCACTTTGTTCTGTCTATCTTTGTGCATGGTTTTAGGTTTGTTTGTCTGCATGGGTGAGATGGGATCGATTGCACATGAGGAAAGTATTAGCTTCATATACACTATTCCACCTGTTTTCTATCAACATATATAATTGGTGATCTAAAACACACTTTCTCTCTAAAAAATGAACACAAAAACATCACTACAAATATGCAAATACTTTGTTCACTTTGCCATCTTACTAATGCAAAAAAAAAAAAAAAAAAAAAAAAAAATTCAGGAAAATCATCTTTCACAGAAGTTTAATATGTCAAATGCTAGGAATATAGGCATTACTCATATGCATATACCTAAATGGGGACTAGTACATAATCATAGCTGTTTTGTGTGATCTGCCGAGGATGGGATAAAGTAAGAAATTGTACAAATCCAATGGCCTTTCATCTAATGCTCTTTCCTTATAGTTTTGGGTAGGAATCATGTATTGCCATAAGTAGCATTGCATTCAATTGAATTTAACATTCATAGCAAAGAGTGTGTCATATGGACAAGGACCTTCCAACTCCAATAGGTATGGTAACTAATACAAGCAATTTGTGAAGCAACCATATCTTCTCCAAAATCTCACACGATCTTTTGTACTTTATTTTGCCATATGTAGTATGTACACACCACTAGTCGACATATATTGAGTCTGGTTGGTGCAGTTATTTGCAAGCTAAAATTAATAATAAAAAATAAAACTAAAATATTCCTTTTGTAATAAAAAAAGTGTATCATATCATTCAATACAAAATTTTAAATAAAATCTTTTATTATAAGTATCTCTTTTATAAGTTAAACCAAACAAAGGTATTGGCCTCAACTTTTAGCTTCCAATGCTCAAAAGTAAGTGTAAAGGGAATTCATGAGTACATTGATGAGAGAGTTGGAGAATTAAAATGTAGAAAAAATGTCATTCTCCTTCTATTTGGGTGAGAAACTAATTCTTGCCTATTGCACCATATCCCATATTTGTAGCGGTGTTCATAAAACCGATGGAACCAGAATGATCAAGCTCCATTTTTAGGGTTTCTTAGTGTGAATAAGGTAAAGGATCAAGTTCCCAAGTTTATTCTTGCCTCCACTTCCTATAATCAGGTCATGATTCATAAGGTTCCCACAAAACCCAAAAAAAAAAAAAAAACGAAACTGAAAAAAGGGTCTCAGTGTCTCACCAACTTTCCCAATAGTGTAGAAACCCTAACCCTAAATACAGCTCTGAGCAATATATACTCTTCACAATTAATGCACTTTTAACCAACCAAAGAAGAACAAGAAGAATAATAATAATAAGGGAGATATTCATATGACACAACTAAACGAAAAAAGAGAATATACAAATCCCCAAAATGTCCATAGCTATAAAAGATCTCTAAATACAAAGAATAACAAAAGGAACCCATGGATTAAACTAGCTATTATCCTCCATTTTACAGTGATAATCAGTCTATGTAATGGTGAAGAAGTGGGGTTCTTATCTAAAGATAACCCTCAACCTCAAGACCAGTCAGTAAGAGAATTACATACCAATAACGGGCAACTTTTTTCTACTCGGGTTTTGCCTCCTTTCGCACCTGCGAAGGCAGGATATCCTGAAGAAGTCCATCGTCTCTGAGCAAAGACGATGACAGTGAGGGGTAAAACTGTCTTTCTTGAAAAAATGTTGGAAATGGGGAATTAGTAGCATTGGTAAAGCCCAGAGAAGGGATTGAGTTATGGAAATAGGGTTGGAATTGAGGTTGTGGAATAACAAAAGAGGAAGTACCACCAATGCCACCGAAACCGGAGGAGTCCGGCATAACTCCAATACTGCCACGTGGTGCCACCGGGCACGGATGCGTGTGCGTGCCCTCGTAGGTCGTGACGACGATCGACTGATCATCAGAAGACCGCTCCACTCGCTTTTTCACACCACATCCTGCGGTGGTGCAACGGTAGTAGCTCCTGTGAGAAATCATTGCATGACCCACAAAAAGATTTAGCAAGAAAATTAAATTATAGTCTCACAGTAATTTCCGTCATGATCATCAAAAGGGGACCAGATTGAAATTTTTGATGTAAACATACCTTGGAAAAGGGCTATTTTTCACAGCCTTTTGGCCGTACTTCCTCCATCTATACCCATCATCCAAGTGATCAGCCTCACTCTTTGTCATGAACGCAAATCTCGGCTCTCTGGGCCTTTTTGGGGTTTTTTTGGGTTTCAACCTTAAACCCACAAAAAGAAAAACAAAAATTTAGAAACAAAATCTAAACCAAAAATATCAAATCCATACTTAGATTCTGCAGAACAGATAACCCATTAACCAAATCTTCTTATCCCTTCAATGGCTTTTGTTAAAAAATTCTTTTTTCTTTAAAGTTTCATCCAAAACTAGTAATACTATATTACATATATGCACTAGACTAAACAATATAATATAAAAGAAAGAAAAAGCAAGTCTTTTACTGTTTCTTGGCCTTCTTTTGATTCTGCTCATCTTCTTCTTCCACCGTTGTTTTGTTCTGCTCATCATTTGCAGCTTCGTTCGACGACGAAGAGATTGACAGAGAATTGGGGGTCGCCGGAGTATTCACCACCTCGGACGCCGGAGAAGGAATCACCGGAGTTTGGAACAAATCGAATAAAGAAGGATTGTCATCTTGGATACCCAACAAGTGTATGAAGCCTAAAGAAGAGCCCTTATCACCATCACATGGCATGTCGAAGATTCCCGGGAAACCGTAAGAAGTAGTAGTAGTAGTATTCGCCGGAAACGGACCAGAAAATGTCGAATTCGGCATCGAATTTTCGGTCTTTAGCTCTCCTCTCTTTTCCATGAATTGATCACTCACAACAACAAGCATAGATTCTTCATTTCATTTCAAGCTCCTTCAAGTGCAGTTTCTGTAACCAAAAAGAAGTGTGGAGAGAGAAACGAGAGAGAGAGAGAGAGAGAGAGAGAGTGTGTTTGGTTTTTTGGGGGGTCTTTGTTGTTTTTAGGGTGTTTTTGGAGAACAGGTTGGCTAAAGGAGGGATTTCCACATAGGGGGTGGTGACCGGCTGTCGAATTCGGCATCGAATTTTCGGTCTTTAGCTCTCCTCTCTTTTCCATGAATTGATCACTCACAACAACAAGCATAGATTCTTCATTTCATTTCAAGCTCCTTCAAGTGCAGTTTCTGTAACAAAAAAAGAAGTGTGGAGAGAGAAACAAGAGAGAGAGAGAGAGAGAGAGAGAGAGAGTGTTTGGTTTTTGGGGGGGTCTTTGTTGTTTTTAGGGTGTTTTTGGAGAACAGGTTGGCTAAAGGAGGATTTCCACATAGGGGGTGGTGACCGGCAGCTGGCGGTGGACAGGGTGTACGGAAGAGTGTCGGAGAGGGGGGCTGGTGGCAATAAATGAATGAAGGACCGCCGAGTGGTCCGGCGAAATAGTTGACGCTATCTTACGCGGATTGTTAACTGGCAACCGGCTCTGTGTGTGTGTGTGTGGACGGGTTTCCGGTTACACGTGGGCTGGAAAAATAAAAAGTGGCTCGTCTGCACTGCATCTGCATATGGATGTGAATCCAAATTCCAAATCCCTTTCTTTATTTTTTTTTGGTTGAAAAAAAATTAAAAATTTAAAAAGTTATTTAAAAAATTAAAAAGTTATCATTATTCACTAAAAGTAAAAAATTATGACTGCACAATTTTTAATTTTAATTTTTTTTACATATTAATATATACAATTTTTTAATACACATTTTTTCATAAAAAGTCAAAAAATTAATCTAAACATTGATATTTTTTTCCTTAATTTTTTAATCTAAACAGATAAAAAATACATAGAGCATTTATTTAAAAAAATTAAAATATAATTTAGATTTTTTTAACGTGTAAATCCGTTGAATTATGTATACTCAATTTTATTTATTTAATCTCATTTGTGGTGTCACTATTGTACTTAACGTTTGTTATCCCCTTTCATCTTTATGTGTGTATATATATATATATATTATTTTCATGTATTTTTTTTGGGATAAAAATCTATTGTCTTAGGGTTAATTTGAAAAAATAGTTAAAAGTTAATTTTTGACTTTTAACTTATTTTGGATCATAGTACTTCTTTATTTTTTTTACATATTTTAAAAAATAAATAAATAAAAAAAAGTCAATTTTTAACTAACTTTTCAAAACAATCCTTAGGGTTCGTTTGGGAAGTGGGTTAGCTTTTTAGCTTTTTGAATTTTTGGTTATGTTAGTTTGGGGCTAAAAAGTCTCATTTGGAAAAAGTTTTTTGATTTTTTGTGAGAGAAAAATTGTAACGATTATGGATTAGATGTGATATTTTGTCTTATTAAATTAAAAAATTTATTTTATTTTCTTGTGGCTAAAATAATCCAAAACTCAACCCAATCCCTCTTCCTACACGAAATCCTAATGTTTCAAGTCTCTATTTATAATATAGTCAAGTCAAAGAGACTTCTCCTATGATAGATTTTAAAAACAAAAAAGAAAAGGATTGAGGATAAGTAATTTTATTTATTTATTAGTTTGGCTCTTGCATTTCTCATGAATTTTCATCTAACACTTTCTTTGTTTAAAAATGATAGAAATTTTAAAAAATTTATTAAAAATTTTGTCAAATGTCTCACATAAATGTGAGACCCACACCCGTACGAGACATTTAATAAAATTTTTAATAAAATTCTTAGAATCTCTAAGATTACCCTTGCTTGTTGGATTACCATAATCAAATCAATCAAACTAGTTTTATGTGCACTAACTATGTGGAGTAATGATGTTGTAATCAAGAAGGAGAGATGTATAAAGTGCCTCATTTATTAGATGTTTGGTAAAGTATGAGACTTTTTTCCGTTTAGGTGTATATTTGGATGGAATGGGACTAGGTCCCTCACCTTTGTAGGGCTAGTTGCATGGTCCAAATCCAAAACCATCGTACGCTTGTTTTGGTAGGTGGGAAAAAAATTATTTTTTAATTTTTAACTTATTTTAAATAACAATATCTCTCTATTTATACATATATATATATATATATATATATTTAAAAAATAAAATATAATCAAAAATTAATTTTTAATTTACTTCCTAAAACAATCCGTAATAATACTTATATTTGAGATAATTTCCTAACAAGAATGATCCAATACTTTTCAATCACTAGGGGTCGGCCCTACATTGTTCAAATGCAAGAATTACATACTTTTATTTGTGGTGTGTTTAATATGTTTTCATTTTCCCTATCTTTTCAAATCTCCCTATTTAGAACAAGTAAAAAAAGAAAAAAAAAGTGGGAATGGAGAAGCCATGCCAATGCAAACTTATGCATGCAAAACAAAGTTAAACATGAAATAGAGAACTTACTATCAATAGGATGTTAATTCCAAAAAAAAATTGAGAAATAAGACATACATCGACTAGTTTATTGATACAATCCCGTTAGGTAACTTGAATTCACTAAGGCTCAAATGGTTTGATGTGCCAAAACGACTTTTTTATTTTTTTATTTTCTTTTCTTCTTCCTTTCCATAACTCAGAGGAGAGAAGGAAGAAAGAAGAAGAACAAAGAAGAGGAGATGAGAGGAGAGAGAGAGAGCAGAGAGGAGAGGAAAGCTAACAAATCAAACCCCAAAATATGGGAAAGGAAAGCTATGGAAGAGGAAAAATGGGTTTTATTGATTGAATCTCTGTGGGCAAAAATAAAACCCAAAAATCAAAAATCAAAACCAATTAGACAAATCAAACCCAAAAATCAAATCCACAAAATCAAAACTAGAGAGATTCAAATCAAAATCAAAAATCAAAACAAAAAATCAAGCCCACAAATCAAAACCAAAAATCAAACCCACCGCCATAAACCAAATGAAGTCGTTTGGTGGCCGCTGAAACTGATGATGGAGCTCGCCTTGCCTCGTCGTGGACTTCGACAGTGATCTGTGTGTATACACAGCCCATCGCCATCACCGTTGCTCTGTGTGTATATACAGATCTGTTCCCCTCTCTTCTTTTCGTCGTCTTCTCTCTTTCTCCCTTTTCTCTCTGTTCTCTCTCTCTTTCTTCTTTGGCCTCTCTGTTTCAGAGAGAAAAGAGAGGGAAAAAAAAGGCCAAAACGACGTCGTTTTGGATTTTAAGCCACTCAAGTCTCCAATTTTTCTAACTATGAAGCAATTTTCTTATTGATAATTTTGTTATAGAGGAATTTTTTGGGAAACTGGTAAAAAGCCAGCTTCTAACTTTTTATTCATTTTGGGTCACATCACCTCTCACATAACTTACTCATAAAAAGACAAAATAAGCTAAAAAAACAAAAAAAATTAACTTTTTACTAATTTTCCAAAACACCTCAGAATGATGTGATTGTTTGTGTTTTTGAATATTATGTCAAAATACCCACTATTATAATTTATAAATTTTAAAATATTATTAATGAATCTTTAAAACAAAAATTCTATTTATAAATCATTTTTTATTAATATTACACACTATGTGAATTTTGTTTTTCATTTTATTTTATTTATTTATAGATTGGGTGAATTTTGTTAAAAGCGGTAGTTTATGACTTCAATACTATGCTAAACAAACATTTGAATAAAAAGCCATGTGATCCCAAATGTTTCTCTACATATAATATATTTTTTTTCTTAAACCACAATAAAATATAAAATTAAAATTAGGTAGGGTCAAGTTTTTTTATTTATTTTTTATCCCGCCTAAACAAACATTACCTAGGGAGGGATATATATGTAAGATGCATGGATGATTTTTGAATCACAACCGTCCATCAAAGCTATAGTTTGGTTGCAGCTAGCCAGTTAGCATAGAGGAAAATTATAAAATAAAAACCGTGTCGTTTAAGATTAAGCGTGTGGAAGAAGTTTCCGGCACGTGTGGTCGGGAAATATGAGGAAAATGTCGAGGAGACGATGACACAATATCCCTGTCACCAACTCATCAGCATCATATCATTCGGTAAACTTCTTCCGCAACAAGCCTACACCGTCAACGACACTCCCACTCGCTATCCCCATTCATCTTTCATATACCGTTTTATTTTATTTATTTATTAAAGTAATAATAATAATAATAATAATATATATTTTTTAAAACATTAGCCCAACTTTCATTAACTTTTTAATCTTTTGATTATTTTTTAATTTTTTATTATGAAAATATTTTTACAGTTTCCCTCATGCAATTCCTTCGTCCAACGATTAATTACTGAGCTTTAAGACTTGAGATTAGTCTTCACCTCTCCTAATGGAGAACAAAACTTTTTTCCATATCATTATTTTTCATATTACTCCATACTTCATTTTGTGGTCTCATTCTGGACGTATAATAATGATTTGAATTGTTCATCTCGTAAATCTCGCAATAATTGATGAATAAATGAACATATTATATTTTATTTTATAAATATATGGTCTAAGTTTAGACTTACAATTGTTATCCATTTTAAAAAAAATAAAATGTAATTAACCAACTGGTAATCATGCATTTCTTTCCTAATCACAAGCACAAACTGCTAAATTCTAGCTTTTCTTTTCTTTTCTGGTTCTATTATATTGCTTTTATTTTAGGCTCTTAATCTACATGCGTCATGGTTGTGCTTTGTGGCTAAAAATCTAGCTAGATGGCAACATCAGTCGGTGGCAGATTTTCCTTCTGATAAAGTTACTATTGGTTTTAATAGTTGTTGATGTAAAAAAATAAAAAATATAACACAAAATAATAAATATTATATATATATATATATATATTAAAAATTACTTATGTGTTATGTTATAATTATAACTTTAAAATCTAATCTATAAAGCTCTTTTTTTTGTTGATAAAAAAATAAAATAAATTCACTTTAAAAATCTAAAGCAACACATACTTTAAAAATATAATATGTGCCATATTGTTGAGTAAGAAAATTTATTTATGTAGGGTATAACATTACTTTTGAAAAAAAAAATATTAAATTAAATTTCAATTTAAAAAAATCACCAAATCAAT